CCACCAACCAAAAATTAACTAAAAAAGAATAATTCAGAATTTAATGCTCGTCAGCGGTGGAGACACTAAATGCAGAAAAGAGACCTGGATTCTAGACAACTAGCATAACCTGTCGTTTTAAAAAACATCCAACACACTTATTTTTGTTGTGACATTGAAAAGGCTATCAGTAAGCACATAGATATAACATCAAAGGATACTAGAAGCCATGATAGCTTTATAGTGTCTTTCAATCGCTTAACTCTTTCTTTTTTCAGCTCACATGCTACAATCTTTCCCCTACTCTTCATAAGGGCAGCAAGGTGAATAGTTTTGTTTCCCGGTGCTGCACACGCATCAATAACCTTCAAATACATTTGAGGTGTGCAATTAGTAGGATTGGAATAGCTAACAAAATATCTCAAGGATTCAACATTACTTTTTTTATTTAACACTGATTTCTGTAGTTATAATTTAATTTACAAATTGAACATTCATAACATGGCAGTTAAAATGAGCAGGCAGCAAGCACATGCCAAATACATACAGAGTGGTTGTTCACTTATATTCTAGTAATTAATTTACATATGGTAACCTTGGCCATTTCTTTGCAATCCTACAAAATTAAAATTTCCTGAGGATTTATACAAGTAAAATTAAGCAAAAACATTTCAAGTTAATATATTAAGAGAAAGAAGATTTTTAAAAAATAGAAGCCAAAACAAAATATTCAGTAGACCCAATAGAACAGATTAAATATGGTATACTTCAATATTCCTGAATCACCAATAGGATGACCAACTATCTAAGAAGGAATTTGGCCAATATGAACAGAATAATCTGTTAAACAGTAAATGTAGCATACTTACTTCGCCTCTAATTTCAGAGTAAATAGCTCAATTCTACTTTAAAATCGTCTTATCAAGTTACATTGCATGAGAAATTTTGACTAAAATATAAAATGTTGATCATCAGAAATATATTGATGAATTTACCGAGTAATTTTTCTGAAGTTCAAGCAAGGCAGAATCAACATCCAGTCTAAGCGTATTGACACGAACATACCGAGTAATTTCCAGAAGTCGTAGAACTAGGAGTCCTCCCATACAACAGAAAAAACACCTCACCTTGCCGAAAAGGATATCATAGGCAATCATATAAACCAATTCTCGTTGCCTCTGCTAAAATCAACAATACACAACACATCGTGTTGAGAAATAAGTAGAAATGAAGAAAAACCAAAGTTATTACGATTTATGACCTTCCACTTGGTGTTGAGAATGGAGCTTCCAAGACCTCTCTCTATTAAATTCTACCTATTATTTAAATTTAGAGTTTGTCTGGTTTTTATTTTATAAATTTAAATATATTTTTATTCTTTAAGCATTGAAGATATATAAAATCATTTTTAACTTCAAATGATAAATGAATTAAATAATCTAAACAAAGTAATCATAAGATGTGAAAAAAATGTAGAATTTAACGCTGGAAGCACAAACCTAGGGAGACTACAGTGCACGTGGTCAAAACCACTCCATAAATACTGCATCATCCGATTCTTCAGCACTGCATCATCCGATTCTTCAGCACGCACAAACTACGGAAGAAAATATCTTTTCCAATACAGGTTTTACAACAGGTAATGAATCTCTTTTTTTTCTTTATTTCTTTTACCTTTTTTCTTTCTTTCTTTCATTTTATCATTATTATTATTGGACGAAAGGCAACTCATGCTGTAATGTGAAAAAAAGGGTGTTATCTTTTGAGGGCTTCTTGTGATTCCTGAGACTTTGCTTTTCCTGGGTTTCTTTTCTTTCTCAACCCTTTTCTTTTACTCAATATTTCTTGTGCGTAGAGATAACGAGTGTTAGCTTTGTTTCCCCCTCTCTCTTTCTCTTTTATTTTTGTGGGTTTTAATCTTTTTTGTTTTTTTGCAGATAAAGTTTGTTTCTTTCAAGTTTCGGCTGATTCTTTCTCACGAAAGGTAGACAGAGAAGAATCTAGAAAATAACATGATAATGGTTGAATTGTTCTTTATATCAAAAATGAAGAATGGGAGCCCAAAGACTAATTAATTTTGACTTTTGTTTTTAAGAAATGAAGAGTTGGCATCTGTACCTTCTAACAAGCAAGCATGGGAATTAAGTACGGAATCGTCTGGAACTCCCTAGTATTATTCTGTAAATCTTTCTGGACGTACGTTGGAGATGTAAGAGTAATGGTTGCCACTTATGCTGATGTTAAGGAGTATCCGAATCGTTACGTGTTCGTGATCGACATGCCTGGCGTGAAAGCTGGGGACATTGAGGTGCAGGTAAAGGAGGACAATGTGTTAATCATTAGCGGCTATAAGAAGAGGGAGGAGGAGAGAGAAGGGGTTGAGTATTTGATTACGGAGAGAAGAGTCGGAAAGTTCATGCGCAGATTTACGCTTCCAGACGATGCCAACTCTGATGCCATATCTGTCATGGACCAGAATGGTGTGCTGACCGTCACCATCAAGAAGTTGCCTCCTCTTGACGTCAAGTTTGATTAATAGAACATGTAGAAAATTCTTTTGAAAAAAAATGTTAAAATCTTACGTTCGTATTTGTCATGTGTATACTAAAATAAAATAATCTAGAATTGTTCAATATCTCATCTTTCTTCTCGTCTTTTCCTTTCTCTTCCCAGCTATCCAATTCAAATATACTTTCCTTAACAACAAGAACGCAAATTAAATTTCATACCAGGTAATCTTAAAATACCATGTCTCAACCTGCTGATTATTGCTAGCTCTTGAGTTTACACAAAATTCATTGAAATAGGGATCTCGTCAGGGAACTATAATCGATCAAAATTTCTTTAAATCCTACCGTGGTCACTCCTTTTCATCTAAGAATGTACCAATCTATAATTTTTCCATTTTTTACATTGATTTGATCTAAATTTAATAAAATCAAACCTAACATTTTTTTTAAACAAACATTCTCTTGGATATTTTTAAGAATCACAAAATCTTACTACGTACTATGAAAAATTTTAAGGATTACAAAATCTTATTACTTTGAAAATGTTGTCTTCTTTCTCTCTTTTATATCTTTTCCTGGAATTATCGATCCCTCATTACACTTTTAATCCATCACATATCAAATGAAAAAAGTCACAAAATATTGAATTTCCTTTTTTGAACTTCAAAAAGTTTTATATTTATTATATTTTGTATATAGTTATACATATTTCCTATTTGGTCCATTAGAACTTTTATTTTATTAGTTACTCTATTGTTTGTTTCAATGTACTATTTTAATTAATGATCGAACTATTTCAATTATTTTTAAGGAATATTCTGGTCTTGTTTAATTTGATTGTTACATAAAAAAAGCTAATTTTTAAAATATTTCTGTAAACTTATAAAAAACAGAAGCAGAAACAAAATATTATATGCTTTACTTTAAAAACAACTTGGATTTACTTTAAATTTCTTAAGAAACAATTTCACTTAACTTTTAAAAATGTTTTTTTAAGATTCTAGGAAATACTCATGAGAACTTGATTATTCTAGTATTAAAAATTTAGGCTATAAATAAAAACTTAATAGAAAATTAAATGTAAGTAATTATAATTAAGTTAAAATAAAACCTGGATGATTTATTTATAAAAAGAATTAATAAGTGTAATTAATTTAAAATAAAATGTGATTGGTTAAAAATAGTTTTAATTACATTTTGAATTATAAAAAATTAATACTATTATTATTTAATTATTTTTGTCATTACAAATTTTATTAGTATTTTATTTAGATGTTGTATTATTTTCTCCATTAATGTTATTTAATATTATTATAAATTATTATTATTGTTCTTGTTATTATTATTATTAAGATTATTAATTATCTTAGATAAAAAGATGTAAATTTTTTAAAAAAGTCAAGGACCATTTGGTAATTACATTTTTATTTCTCAAATCACCTCATTTAAGTACTTAAGTAAAGAAAGAATCTCACCTCCTTTCCTTGTATACACTTTCTCATTTAGAAGACTGGTTCAACGGTGAAACAAATAAAATACTCTCAGATCACCTCACTTAAGTAAAGAAAGAATCTCACCTTCTTTCCTTAAATACTCTTTCTCATTTAGAAGACTGGTTCAATGGTAAATCAAATAAAATACTCGTTTTAGACTTAAAAGGAAGGTTTTCAATTTTAGTATTTACTCTATTAATCTTTTTTTATGTTTAAGAAAATTTTTTTTGTACTAATATATCTCTATTAAGTTATCGATTAAATTATGTGAAAACTTATAAAATAGAATATTATAATTAATAGGTGTTTTAAAATAATGAGACCAAGCATTATAAATTTAAAAATAAGTTGATTAAATAAAGAGAATTTTTGTCTCATTATTTTAAACACTTTACCCTTTTTTTCTAAACACTATTTTCTTGAATTCTCTATCATCTCTTTAAGAGTTCTAACTCTTTGATCATCTATTTCACAATCCAGAGATACCTAGGAGATCATGGTAGAATAATCTTCACTTTTACCCGATTAGTTCTTTGTTTAAAGCAAGTAAGTTTCTATCCTTTTTCCTTTTATTCTTCGACCTATGATCATGTAGAAAAATTTGTTTTGCATGTATCCAATGTGCTTCTTTCTTGATTCTTGGTCAATTTGAGATTCTAAGGTTTGATTCTGATCATCGATTGATGATTTATAGGCTTTTCTAGAATTTCTTGTTGTGGAAGCAAGGAATGAGGGTTCTTTCTATGGTAAGGGAAGCTAGACCTTGTTTTAGATTATGTTTGTAGTTTGAATTTAGTATCTCTATGTATGATAAGATAAATTAAATGAAATTGTGATAATCGTTTTAATACTAATTGGGTTTAAATGATGATTAATGATAGTATGATGTTTGTATATTTGGAATGGCGTGATTTATATGCTTAATATTGTCATGATTGTGTGTGATGAAGTTGCTTTGGTGTTTGAAACTAAATTCAAAGTGTTTGGGATGAGTAGTGATCAAATTCTTGGGTTTTAAGCCTAAAAATGGGGTTTTGATATAGGTGAGTTTTTTAGGAACTTGTTAGTTGAGTGAAACAACAGTTTGAGGTCAGTTGTGAAGTTGTTTAAGATTTGTGGAAAAATCTCAAAATAATAAAATCTTGTGTATGAGGCCGTAAATGGTTGATGAGTGTGTTTTTACATGTTTTTGGTCCAAAATTGAGGCTTTGAGTAGAGAAATTTTGAAGTAAGGGTTTTGAGTTGTTTTGGGAAGTTAGGAGTCTATTAGTAGACTTATTATTACTTGTTTAGACATTTAATGAGAAAACTCTAGTGTGGAATGTTAGTTCTATAATAGGTGAGCTCTTGGGTACTTTTAGTTCAATTTTGGAAGTTTTAATTATTGGAAATGAAAGTAGTAAAGTTGAGAGAAAACTGAGGTGTTGAAGTGTGCTATTTAGTGTATTATGACTTGTTCATGATGTTAGTTTGCTGATATAGGTGTTAGAAGAGGCAGAAAAGAGTTTGGGTAGTTTAGAGAAGTGATTTTGGTTTCAAATGGTCAAATGGAGTTATAGATGTGTTTTCAGATATTTTAGGGTATTTAGAGAGTCCTAAGAATCATTCAAAGTTGTGAGGTAAGTGTGTGAAGTGATCCAAAAAGAGTATAATTTTGCTGATAGCGCCTGAGCGCCCATTTCCAGTGGCCAGGACGCTGAGCGCTTGAAAACAGAAGCTAGGGCGCTGAGTGCCAGCTTCTGAGCGCCTAAGCGCCACTTGTGTGTTCATATACTTGTGTTTTACGTGTTTTCCAATGACTTGTTGGGTTGTTTATGGTTCTTAGAAGGCTTAATACCACTATTGGTTTTAATTTTTGTCAGCTTTGTTCGAAATGGTCCTAATATTTTTAAAATGTTTAATGTAGTCTTAAAGATCGTAGTTTGTGTTCAGTTTAGTCCTTTTTGCAAACGTTGTTTAAATCGTTAACGGCCAAATGTCCAACTATGCAATTAGTGACACATCACCCTTGACACGTCATCATCATTTCCTACCTCTAGAAACCCTAATTTTCCCCTACACAGAAACCTTAGCCACTACCTAACCTTAACCGCCACTGCCACGCTCACGGCTAGCCACCATCTTCGCACCTCCATCATAAGACATTTCGAAACCCTAACCAGATGGTCGCGCCACCACCGCCGCTATTCATCTTCTCCATCCAGCAACCACCCAGAAACACCACCATGACCATCTTCCCCATCCTCCACCGTGAATCGCCATCAATATCTAGTCGCGACAACCATGATCGTCGCAACGAGACAACGAGCCATGCGTGAGTTCATTTTCTCCGCCAAGTCTTCAACCTGCAAAGGGAAATACAGAGAACGAAAAAGCCAATTGGAGTATAATCGTCGCTGCAAAAGCGTCATTCTCCATCAATCTTCATCTTCTCTAGCCATCGCGAAGCTGCTTTTCGAACATCAAGTAGAAAGAAACCAAATCGTAGACAAGCAACCACGAGCAAGATTCGCATCGTAACGCTCCTACATTTTGAAACCCATTATATTTTCCTCTCGCGACGCAAGCGTAAGGAAGCCTTTCCCCCTCGCATTCAGAAACCCTATTTTTTTGGGTGGGGATTGGGCTGCGTCATGTTTCAGTCAAGGCAGGTCAGCAGTTAAATGACATATCATTCACTGATTGCACGACTGGACATTTGGTCGTTAATGATTTAAACAGCGTTTGCAAAAAGGACTTAATTGAACACAAATTATGATGTTTAGGACTATATTGAACATTTTAAAAAAATAAAGACTATTTCGAACAAGGTTGACAAAAAATTGGGACCAATAGTGGTATTAAGCCTTCTTTGAAATATGATAAGTGATTTTATATGTTGATATGAAATATAAAAGTAAATGGATATATATATATATATATATATATATATGGTTTCAAATGGTTTCAAGGTTGGGAAAGTTGGTTCCAAGATGGAACTTCCTGGTGTGGTTTCAAGTTTTATTAGAATGAATGTAGGGAGCTTAGTCTTGGGGGTTATCCTGACACTCTAATGGTCTTTCATTTTCAAGTAGAGAAGATTGACGCATGTGGTGAAAGTAGCAGGAGGTCTTAGTCTAGGTGCTTCCAGTGTGGCCTACGACGCGGTACAGACTAACCTTGTGAGGGTGGTAGAGTGAAACCCATTTGACAATGACTTTGTAAAGCAGTAGAGACCACCACAAGTGCACAATCCGCCATATCTCGACATTCATTCTAAATTCAGATAGTCTAATCTAAGTCTTGGCATGTTTAAGATGTTTGATTTAATTGTTTTATGTGAATTAAGTATGATGATGATGACAATAACTTATTATATGAAATTGTCTTTATATCTAGCTTACCCTTTTGTTTGTGATTTTGTTGTGTGTCCTTTGTTTCTATTTCTTGGTTATGATTATTCGGTGGATGTGAGCAGAGGGTGATGAGGTTTCTCTTTAGTAGCCGTTGGATGGAAGAGTTGCAAATATGTAGTATCTTTAGTTAGTTACCTT